CCCCAAAACCCCAAAACCCCAAAACCCCAAAACCCCTTTTTGCACTAGCTAAAATGAATTTATAATTTTTATTTTAAATAGGGATAAGGACCTGGAGAATATTTATGGAAGAAAATAAAGAGTGGACGAAAGAAAAGAAGAATCCTCTTGAACCAGATGAGTTGATAAAGATAGCTAATTATTTGAAGAGAAAAGGGCTGGAGGAAACAGAAGCTAAGTATAGACAGACTACTGTCAAGTATTTTAGAGCTGAGAGTTTCCATCAGATATAATCAAAGAAAATTCAGAAGAAATTCTTGGACTGGTTGCTAATAAACTCTCAATTCTTAATCGTAATGAACTAATAGATTCAAAACTACTTGGAACCGCTTTTATTGTTCATGGCCTAATGAAGAGCTATAAAAGAAGTAGTGAAGATAAAAGCAAGCACCCAAAAGAGCTGTTTTATGCTGATTTTACAATGGAAGATAAAGGATTTTATGCCTTTGATATACATGAACCTCAGTATAATTCCAAACAGATCTTTATCCTGTTGATCATATGAATTATGTGATTAATGCTACTGCTTATATGGACAGATTCAATAAGAAGTCAGTTCCAGGGAACTCTGCTTAGACTATGCTCTTATATAATCAGATTCTTGATAATCAGATATGTGCTATTCATGATAAGTTTTTGCTTAGGGCAAGAATTTTGGATATTCGCAAGGCTATTTGATCTAAATGCTACAATCAAAGATACATTCTTCCCAATTATTTCCATTAATAAAAATAAGAAAGGATTGTCTTATTTAAAGATCTTTCTAATGTTTATAATCTTTATGTTAGTTGTTTATGTCTACCTCATTGCGAGAAAGCATATTCATGCTACACAGACCATGGATTTTCTTATTCCTAAGAATGACAACCAAACCAATCATTTGGAAGGAAACAACACTGAGTCTATTTTGAAGAATACCACCCAAGACACAAAACCTGCCGATCCCTCTCCAAGTACAAACTCCAAAAAGTCATCCTCCGACCAGAAGGCCCCAGTCACTGACCCACATGAAGAAAAAGTCCAGGCTAAAGAAGGAGAACAAGCAGGAATGGAAGAGAAGAAGGAGCAGAGAGGTTCAAGTGAGGAATTTAAGGAAGGTAAGAAGAACAACATGAGTATGTATTCCTATTATAAACTGATTCAAAGTGGACAAAATTTTATTCAAAAAAAATTAGGAATCTGCCAGCTGCCAATTATATAGTTTAGTTAATTACTTGTTATTTTTGTCTTCATAGTCCCAAAGACTCTCATAATCCATTTTCTAAAACATTATTATAAATTGGAGAATTCTCAGAATAAAAAAGCAAAACTTATAGATACAGAACAAACCAATCCTCCAACCCCCCACAAAGCTGAAACTCCAACAAAACCCCCATCTACCCCCTCTAAATCCAACCCCAAAAGATCCCAAGAACCCAAACCTACTAAAAATAAAGCCAAACCCAACAAAGAAACCCTGAATAAACTATCAAGCCTAAAACCAAAACGCCCCAAGAAAAAATCATAACCTCTTAAGCCAGGAGCCCTTCAAAAATTACTAAAATTCTTCCTAAATCTCCCTATTGTTTGTTCATATTTTATGTAGTTATATAATTTGGCTGGCTGGGGTTTTGGGGTTTTGGGGTTTTGGGGTTTTGGGG